AGTAAAAAGATTTAAAAAAAAATAAAAAAAAATTTAAATTTGCTTGTTTTTAATAATTAGTTGTATTGGTTCCTACACTTGAGCACCTTAAGTCAGAAGCTTTCACTCAATTCACCCATCAGCAGGAAGGACCTAGGGGACCGAGGGCCTTTGAAAATTTGACTGCCCATTCAGCATGCCCACGCAGGCACCGAGAGAAAATGGCACAATTCTGCAATTATTCAAACCCTTTCAACTTGAAATCATTAGTGTGAGTCATCTAGAGAAAGCATTCTCTCCTCTGAGCCTTTAATTAGAATCTCACCCAGGCATTTCCAATTGATTTTATTTCAAAACAAGTTTTTCTTTGTAAGACAAAAGGATAACAAGGAATGAGAAGAGCTAAAAATTGTTTCTTGTTAACAAGAATTAATGCAACGTAGCCAGGAAAATAACTTGTGTTCGGTCAAATAGAACCTGAGACTGAGTTGAAATTCTAAGCTTTCTTCTCTGGAGAGGGTTGTTTTTGACATTAAATTAATGTCAGACACATTGAAATTTATTTATAAAGGGGAAAATAAAATGATAGGTTGAGCTTTTGTTTTGTTTGATTTTCCATTTGGTTTGTTTCATTCCCATGTTTGTACGGCTGTGGTGGGGAAGGAGAGCAAAGGGAGACAAAATAGAATTCCTGGAACTCTTGAGGAGAAAAGCAAGTGAAGTAACACTTGTAATACTTGCAATACTTCTAAAAAGAGTAAAATGTATAAAGTGATTTGAACTTCAGCATCTGTCACCTTTCCAGCTTTTAAACTTTTACTGTCTTATAAGAAGAGATGCAGTAATATTCATTCTCCATATTGTCTCAAATTCCTTATTAAAATAAATGGACTTCCCAACTTATGTACTCTTGACTTTTTAAACGCCCAGTATTGGAATTTATATTAAACCAGGAGTTGAAGCCATTGAAAGAAGCATTTTTGAAAACCTGCCTTTCTTTTCTCCCTTATATCCCCAGGGCAAAGATGAAGAATAGAGTAAACTATATCCTGGTATATTTGCCTACTCAAAGTTAAACGAAACCTGATTTTTCTATAGACAGAGTTATAAATGGCAGCTGATTTCTAGATCACCCCATATAAAAAAATAATCATTTAAACAGTGATGTAGATAAAATGGTCTACAGTTCTGATTCATTCTGGTTTTATAAAACTTTTGTGGGATATCTTGAGAATGTATAGACTGTATGTTAATGGGAAAACATCCTGAAAGAGCTAGCAAAAGGCCATTTTGAAGCATATTGAGTCTGTAAAATAAGAGATCACCACTTTCATAGAGATCGTCTTTGAAGGCACCATCCATTAATGTTACCCTTTCCTGTTTTCATGCCAAGTTTGCTGTAGGCTGGGTGTGAGTGGAGCTTTCTCCCTCTTCTGCTCATCAGGAGGGGAAGTGGGGTAAGCTGGCTTCATTTAACATAGCTTCCCATCCTCCCTAATCACTCACTTCAGCAATACAGATCCACTTTTGCATCCTTTATACAACACACACATCCCCCTCTTTCTGCCTAGCAAACTGGCCTTTCCTTATCCACCTGGCTAACTGCGCCCCACCTTTGTCTCCTCTGTGAGATCTCCTGACTGATGGACTTGGTGCCACTCACCGCCAGGCGTTCTGAGAACAGCCTCCCTTGCTCCTTGAACAACAGCTTACAGTTGTTTCACAAGTTCGAGATGTCACTAGGCTAAAGTCACCTTGATGGCAAGGACCAAACCCTGTGTGTGTTCCCTGTGCACTGCTGACATGATCAAGGAGTGTATCAGGATGAAGAAATGAAGTTGAAAAACATTCAACTCTCTCATACCAATCACCCCTTCCTGCCCAGCTTGTTCTTTCACTGGGCAATGAAATGCAAATTTCAATCTTCCTTTTACAAAAGCAATAGCTCAATTAAAGCAAAAGAGAGAAAGAAAAAAGAAACAGAAGTTGATAGGGGATTAAAGAAAGGCCAAACAAAAACCTAAAGAATCAGTCAAACAACAACAACAAAACAAGCATATGAGAAACAGTTATTAGTTAATCTTCGTCTAAATATTGGTTAGAGAATGACTGGGTCAAGGTGGAAACTGAAAACAGTTGCTGCATGCATTGCCTCTGTGGGCAGGAAGTGAGGGTGATGTGAATTCAGGAGGAGAGGCATTAGGCAGAAAGTTCTTCCCCAGTAGTGAGGTGCCCAGGACTAGAGAAAGGCATCTGGTGCTTCTGGATGTAGTACTACACACTTGCCAGCAGAGGGCAATCACAGATATAGCTGATCTCACCCTCCCACGGAGAATGTTTTCTTCCTATTTCAGATAAATATGAAATTGGCATTTCTTGTCTCCGGAGGTAGGATATGGGAGGTAGTGGGTGTAGCCATTCTTAGTAACTTGTGGGAAATTTTTTGGATGTTGTAATTTGGTTCTGGAAGCTAGGGAACATGGGTTGAGTTTGGAAAGGAAAGATGATTTTGCAGTAAGAAGTAACATTGAAGAACCAGTATCATCTGCCAAGCACTGTTAAGTGATTCACATGCATTAACATATTTAATCATCACAAAAAAAATCTAAAGGGATGTACTGTTTTATCAGTCCCAGTTTCTATGCAAAAAAGGTAAACATTAGCTAATCCAAATAATTTGCAGAACCTGGAATGAAAGCGACACTTACTCTTACTCTGTGTCTTATATAAGCTCCCCCAGCAGAACACTCCTGGTTCCCGTCATAATGCTGTGTTGGGCTGAGCTCCATCTGCTGTGGTATGGGGCCTGACTAGCTTCAACCAGAGAGAAGGTCCCCGGGGAAAGAATGGAAGCAGAAAGAAATGCAAATGAAAAGACACTGTAGAGGAGACAATTATTAAATCATAGTTTTAAAATCATATGTACTGTACTAAAGGGAACTATGATATGATATGGTGCTTATGGGTTTTCCTGTAAGTTATACAATAGACTAACTCCACCCCATCCATAACTGCCAAGCCTATGCATTTTGTTTACTTACATTGTCTCACTGTTGTCTCCATGTGACTGGAGGAGAAAAGTGTGTTTATAGCAGCAAAGTCTTATCGGGCCACAGCATGAACCCCATCACAGCTTTCTGAGACTTTACTTATGATCACCATGGCCTAGGAGGTGAGTGAGAGCAGATTTGTGAGAAACAAAATCAAAATATTTTTAGTTCACTTTAGAAAATATTTTTGAATGTTGACTATGTTGCCAAGATTGTGCTAAGCAGAGTGAAAAAACACAATTCCTACCTTCAAAGAGTTCTCTTAGACAGCTTAGAAAACAGGCAAATCAATGAGCATATGATATATATCTGCGATAGGATAAACCCTATCTTAAAAGCCTTGTAAGTGTCAAGAAGATGGGAAAGAATAGTGTAGGGGCAGGAAGACACAGAGCAGGTTTTCTATGACCTGAGCAGATGGGGTAAAGGAGGAGAGCGTCCTAGAGAGTCCTCAGTGGATTTTGCAGGCTTTTATTGGGATTTACCAAGTACACGGCAGGCAGGGGTACTGGGGGGCAGGAGGCTGGCAGGCCTCCCCGCCCCCAGCAAGTCTTCACTCTTTCTGGGCTCTCGTGTTCTCTCTTCTTCTCTGCTTTTCTCTTCTTCTCTGCTTTCTCTCTTCTTCTCTGCTTCTCTTGCTTCTCTCTTATTTCTGCTTTTCTGATTCTCTGCTCTACTCGTTCTTCTGGAGTCCCTGACACACCACCCTTATAAACCCCGTCTCTCAGCCCAGGTGTACCCACTTGCGCATGCCCACCATCAGGCATGCATTCAGGACCGCAAGGATCCATCATCAATCCTAATGGCACGAGGGCAGAAAAGCCTGATACTTTACTTACCCTACAAATATCTTTTAGGATTTCTCAAAAATACAGTGGCTCATCTTATGAATTAATGTTTAAGGCTCACTAAATTCAGACTTATGAGAAGATAATGGGTAACCTAGAAGGTTTGTTTTGAAACTGGGCATGAAAACAGTTGCACCCTCTGATGTCTGAGAAGGACCAGCATTCTGACCACACCTACTTTGATGGAGACCTGAGTCATCAATCAGAATGATTTTTTTTTTTTTTTTTTTTTTTTTTTTTTTTTTTTTTAGTAGAGGCATGTTTTTCTTTATTTGTTTGCTTGTTTGTTTGTTTTTGTTTATACATGCACTGGGTACAGTCAGAAGCGCGGGAGGGCGAGAGAATTCACCAGAGCCAGAGCGGGGAGCAGAGCAGGCAGAAGGACCGAAGTACACTGCTGAGGGGAGCAGCGGGCGGCAGGAGAGGTCTGCGCACCATGTGGGACCCTCCTCCGGTGGCCGGGGAGCAGCCGGGGATCGAACCGGCGCTGCAGAGGCCGCGGGCAGCTTCGCAACCCAGCGCTCTACCACTGCGCCACCGGGGAGGCCCAATCAGAATGATTTAAATTTACAACTGCATCTAAGTTTAAGCTGTCATTTTACAGATAAGGACACTGAGGTCTGGCAGTAAAAAAGGATTGTTTTTTTTTAGTGTTAGACACCTTGTTCATGGCAGAGCTGGGGCAGAGCTTCAGAAGAGTGACAGACAAGGCAGAGAATGGCTTGTCCAGTGAGTCTAGAGTCAGCTCCCACTCAAGTCCATCTCCACAACATACCGGCTCACTTATCTTGAGTAACTTATTTAAACTCTGTCATTCTGTTTCCTCATCTGTGAAATTAGAATAATACTCTCACATCTGCCATATGCAAAATGAGAGAACGCATACAAAACATTAATTAAGAACCAAATGAGATAATGCATATTAGCCTGGGACATAAGAAGAACTTGATAAACGTTAATTATTAAAGCTCATGTGTCTCCAGTTTCTACAGTAGTATCCTTTCTGCCACAACAGTAAAATGTGGTTTTATTTTTTGTTTCTCTGACACAAATAGCCTCTTTTTTTTTTTTAGATCTGTGCACTCATGTGGTATTTTGTACCCCTTTATGTCTCTGTTTTCAGGGCCAAGGAGATAAAAATCAAGTTGGGAATCCTCCTCCAGAAGCCAGACGCGGCCACTGACCTTGTCATTCCATATAATGAGAAGCCGGAGAAGCCAGCCAAGACCCAGAAGTGAGTCATGAATATGGATTCCACTCATTTTCCTTCAGAGGATGCTATTTTTCAAGTGAATAGCACTATACCTCATCTGTAGAACCCCCCCCTTCAATTACTTATTGAGAATCACAAGAAACTTCAGAGAGTTGGTTTGTAAATAAGCATTTTTTAAAAACACCCCTCTGCTAGAAGATTATATTATATCCTGGCAGGATAGCAAAAAAATAAAGATAAGTCCTTGTCTTAGGACCTTGCTGGACCATACCTTATAAAATAGCACCAGGCACCTCCTGAGTTACATACCACACAGACCTGGAGTAGAAAATAATACCTATTCACTTGCTGCCTTTGGATCAGGTAACCATTCCTGATCTGCTGAAGAATGATCACTGGGTCCTCACCTGTTAAGGAATAGTTGAAGGCTGCTTACTCAGCAGGGAGAGGCAAATGGGAGCACTCTCCTCAAGAAAATGGTAAGATGGCGGAGACAATTTAAACCTAATTATTTCTTCTCCAGGAAATTGTCCCTTTGAGGTCCAACAGAGGAACAGAGGTTGTTCCTTGATGGAGGACTGAATACTTGAGCAGTGGTTTCTTCTTAGTGCATATAAAGCATCCTTTCACCTCCACCAATCCAAAAATGAATATTCTTGACTGAACTACAGTCCTCCAGCTCCCTCCCCACCTCACGCTCCACTACCCCACCCCAGGCCACTGAGGCTTTGTGGGAAACCATTGTCCTAAAGATTCAAGGTATAAGGCAATGAGCCCAGCTCTAACTTTGCATGGCACTGTGAGTGGCATTCTCACTGAGTACCCTTGTTCCACTGCTTCGAGGCCATCACAGAAAGTACGTACACAGGTGTTGAACAGACACTTCTTCCTCTTAGGCAGAGATGCCCCTGAAAATCAAGAAAGGAACATGAGGAGCAGAAAAGCCAAATGTTCAAACTCCTCCACTCTCTTCCCTAAATGCTTGGAAGAGAGTACAGAAGGGTAATAAAAATAGAGAATCCCTTTTAACCTCCATTTCTTTTTAAGTCTAACATTTGCATAAGTTGACTGATCTCCTCTTGGTCCATATGATCTTCAATTTAATATAGCTGGACAGGTTGAGAGATAAATGCAGATTATTATTTTTTACAAAAATATTTTTTCCATTAACCTAAGTGGATATTTTCATTCTCCTGCTGTTACTGCTTCAAAGGGACCTTAAACCGGAAGCAAGGCATAATTGCGGTTTCTGCATTCAGAGAGGGAAGCTATTTCAGGGTGGAGCTGTGGCATCAACTCTGGGGGAGAATAAGAACCATATTTCATAGCAACAACAGATCAAAATGTCTGTTTTGAAGTCAGCAATGTGGTGCTTATTGATCTGTTGAAGTTAATTTTTAAAAATAAATACAGGATTGCCTTTTGGCTTTGAGTCTCTGTTTTCATACCCCACACAGACACTTGAACTATTTGGTTTAACAGGACTTCAGAGACTAGTTTAGGAATAAAACCTGGGACTGACATTTACTGGGTTATTTTCTCTCTTGTCTTCCATCCCCTTTCTTCTTCCGGAAGTTTGAATTGTTTTGGAAAAAAAATTTGCCTTGTCCCTAGAGAATATCTTTGTCTCTACTACATTTTAAACCGTGACCACTACAGAGCTTTCCCACCCTCTTCCAAACCCCTAAACCTCAGGCCACCCGCCTCAGGTTTGGCAAATTCCCATGCCTTTTAACAAACAGGAAAAGATTGTATTCTTTATGAGCTCCAGTGTCCTCTCTTCTCCCCACTTAAAATGTCTCTGTATTTTTTATCCCATTTTCTTCACTTAGTCTTCTCCAGACTAAAGGTATTTTTAAACACTTTCATCTTTAAAAAACAATCCCCTTTAAAAATGCATTTTCTATTTTTAAAATAAATTGTTATTTTTCTCATTAGGGAAAAAAAAAAAAAGAAACATTGGGGGGAAAAAAAAGGAAAAGAAAAATATTTCTGACCTAAAGTCAGCTCCTGATACCATTCTAAAATGCTTTTTAAGATTTATTTATTTATGCATACAAGAACTGGGGTACAGGCTAGAGATGTGGGGGTGAGAGGATTCACCAGAGACGGAGTGGGGAACAGAACAGGCAGATGTACCGAATACACTGCTGAGGGGAGCAGCAGGCAAGATAGGAGAGTTCTGCTGCTCCAAGTGGGCAGCTCCCTGGCAGGCCCGGGATCAAACTCAAAGTGCTGCAGAGAGCTTCACAGAGCTGTGTTTAACCGCTTGTGCCACCAGGGAGGCCCGGTACCATTCTAATATTCTTTAAAAAAAATGATATCAGTTTCAAGTATATGACATAATGATTTGATTTTTGTATACATTTGGAGATGGTCACCACAGTAAGATTAGATATCATTTGTCATCACTAAGTCACAAGATTTTTTTTCTTGTGTGTGAGAACATTTAAAAGAGACTGCCGTTGACTTCCAAATCTGCACTGGGGTGTTATTGACCCTGTACATGATATCCCTGGACTTACTTTTCTCATAACTGGAAGTTTGTACCTTTTGAGCCGATTTACCCATTTATCCCCCTCCCCTCTGGCAACCACCACTGTTTTTGTATTTATGAGGCCTTGAGGGCATTATGCTGAGTGAAAGAAGTCAGACTAAGAAGACAAACAGGGAGGATATCTCTCATATGTGGAGTCTAAACAAAACAAGAAAGCAAAGCCAACCCCAGTTAATACTCTTAGCGGCTCTTTTACACTTCAGGACCCCCTTCCACTAGGAATAAACAAGTACTCAGTGCCCAGTCCTTTACTCCTTCATTCTCTAGCATTGGAAAGTCATGCTTCCAGAATCTTCTTTAACTCCTTGTCAGAATGAAACCTCACTACCCCACAGAAGCTGTCACCACAGGTTTCACCTTGACTGGTCAGCATCATTTGCCCAGTAGCTGGCCTCCTTTAAACTCTCCTCCTTAACTTCTAAGTACACCTTCTCCTCTCGCCCCCACCTACCTCAAATGCTCCAACTGTGCTCACCCACAAGCCTACCCAAGGGCTCTGCTCTGGGTCCTCCTAATAAAACACACACAGATTAGTAAATTACAAAAAATTAAGGCTGTGTGATAACCTGCTGTCATGGCTTATAATAAGTTGCCAAATGCTTAGGCATTGGTCTGGATGTTCTAAGTTTATTTTCTAGATGTTCCTTTTCTCTCTGCCTATGTCAACCACATTAACTACGCTTTGTCGTTGTTTTTACCACTTTATCATTCTAGAGTGACCTCCATATGGTACCTAGCCTGAGCACAGGAGAGGACAGTCCCCAAGTCTTAACATACACTCTTACCTGGTGAACTGAGAGTGAGCAGTGTTGCCAGGATTGAAATGTGTGCACAATGTTTGAAAACAGATAGATATTAAAGCCTGTCACATAGTTTTATCTGCATGCCCATCATGGTGCCCAGATTTCTTGGCCATGGGGTAAGGACTCTGTAGATGACCATGGAGACTGCTCGTGGGCAGGTAGGCAGCACTTTGGGGAAGGAAGGAGGAATAAAGCAGGCACTTAAAGATGGCAATAAATAACCTTTCCTAGTCGAAAGCAGCAGTATGAAAGAGCATTAGCTGGAGTGTTTAAATGTGTGGGTATTATGCAGATTAAAAAAGAAAGGAAAAGGAAAACACTGGCATTTAGAGGTTAAAATACTTTTCCATAGTAATAGTTCATGGGGCTGAAATCATTGAAATTAAGTTTTATTTGTGGTTTTCATCAAACCTACTAATTCTGGGCAAATGGAACCATCAATTGCACATTGACTTGACATAAATATTGCAGGGTGGGCTAATGATGAAGGGGATGTGCCACAGGACAGGTTGCGATGGGAAATGTCCTCCAGGATCCATAAACTGCACCTTTATGCAGTGAGTGTATCACTGCAGGAAAGAGACTTGATGAGCAAATGGGAGAGACAACTGCCAAGTGAGATGGTCACTTCCGGAACCATCTACACTGGCATTATAAAACACACAGTCATCCCTATAAATGTGTTTTGCCTTTCATCTGAACTAGCTTTCTCCACCTCACCCCACACCCACACAGAGACCCCAAGCCTACCTCCCGCCCTCCATAGTCAGCTCTGACCCACCTGGCAAAAAAGGATATGCATTGGTCATCTGGAGCTACGTGGCTCTTGTTTCCAAAAAACTCAGACTTAATGAGGACTGGCCAATTCCGAGAATCAGGACAGGATGAACCTAGGCTCCCTTTTAAGCTGGTAATCAGAGCACTGGGCTTCATGCTGAGGGGGATGAGTCCTGTTTGACTGTGACCTTGAATCAATTGGGACTAATTTAACCCTGAGCAGGCTCTGCACATGTCCTTTTCAGGAATTTAATTGTGGCTGAGAGGAGCTCTGATGTTGACCATTAGCTGGGTTTTAACGGGGTCATTCCAGGGAAGTTGTGTCTGCTCACTTAACTAAGTTGGGAGCACCTGCTTTTGGCTTTTCCTTTTCCTGGGCCCCTCTCTGTTAACCAGAAGCAAAAGGGGAGGGAAGGTGGATGTGCTTTAGGAGAATATTAACAAAATCAGAAAGATATTCTGTGAGTGAATCAGGCCTTCTCTTGCTCTGAGCCTGTTTTACTTGTCCAATAATTTAATGTCCTGTTGTTTCTGTCAACAACCAATATGGACTTGGAGAGTACCTATTATATGCAAAATAATGAATCCACACAGTGAAGGAATTAAGAAGTGTAAATATAGGTACAAAATAATACACATAGGAGAATCAGGACAGGATGAACCCAAGCTCCCTTTTAAGCTGGTAATCAATATGAAGTAATATAGAAGAAACAAAAGGAGTAATTGATTTCTAGAAAAACATCCTTTTCCAGTTAGATTATGATATAAATACAGGGACATACTTGTAATCCATTCTTCATGTCATCTCCTTCCTGTGCATCTTTCTACTAAGCAGAAGATGGGGAAGGACAGGAATACACTCATTAAAAATAAATTTTCATGGAATCAGTGTTGAGTTTTTCATCTTTGACAGCTATGTTTCTAGCCAAGAAAAAAGAAATCCCCTAAAATGACTTCATCAGTTTCAGTACTTTCATTTTTTGCTCTTTAAAGAATAAAAACACAGAATTTAGTGAGAAATCATTGGGACTTAAACTCTACACATGTTCCAAAATGAAGAATAGAGAATTGAGGGAATTATTCATAGTACTTAAGCCAAAAATGTGGCTACCATCTTGGACTCCTTACATCCAAACGGTGAGGCTGAATCTGAACCCAGGACAGCAAAGTGAAAAAGTATAATTAACAGTTATCTTAACAACTTCTGCTGATAATCTATTTATACAAGTGGAATCTCAAGATGTTATTTTTTAAAAATCAGAAGCAAAAGTTTCCCTGGATTGTCTGAACGGTAAACAAGTTAAGAGGGAAGGAAATTCTAATTCAGGAAATACACCTCAGTTGAGCTTATTATTAAAATAAATGCCTTGTTAGTCTGTCTTGACTAGACAGTGAATTGCTCACATCATTAGCGCGAGTCAAGGCAGACTCTCCCACCCCCGGCCCTCCTCCATTTTCCTGACAGAGCCCACTGACCTGATGGGATCCTGCTGTGAGAGAAAAATTGACGGTTGAAAGGAAATGAGTGCAGGATTCCTGTACATAAAAAACATTAAGATAAAAACAGCCTAAGGGGAAGTTATAAGTTGGCTGTTGCCTCCTCCCTTTGAATGGGCATCTAGAGAATTTGCTTATGACATCTCATTCATGATAGATGAACCACTTTTCTTCTCAGAAAGTTAATCTTTTTAAAAAACATTATCTTATCCTAATTGGGTCAGAAAAATTTACTCAGATCTTCTTAAATGTAGACTTACTATGATCTCATTCCCAGCATGAGTGACATAACACATCCTTCTTCCACCAGCCTTAATGAGATGACAGTGGCAGGTGTATGTGGCATCAAATGCCCCTTTGCTGCTGGTTAAAGTGTAGTTCTGATGAGGCAGAGAACATGAGTTCAGTACCTAAAACTGGACAATCAGATTTCATTCAGTTACATTTGGAAAAAAAGATCACAATGGAGACACTATCATGAGGTGCACAAAAATATCCAGATGTAACTTCATAACAGAAGTTACTGCTTCCAAGAAGCAGTGGGTCTAAGCAAGTTGTTCACTAAGAGATGACAGCGCGTAGCATAGAGATGCAAGAAACCAAATCCCCTTGTCCTGAGCATGTGTCATGTCATCGGTTGTATCATTTCTAAGTACACCAAGTTCAGGTCATTGTTGGTGTGTGTGGCTGACTCCATCTTATGGCTGTCCCCTTTCCCGTTCTTCATTCTTGGTTTAGACCCTCGCCGGAGGAGGCTCTGCAGTGGCGCGATTCTCTGGACAAACTCCTGCAAAACAACTGTAAGTTTGCCCTATCTTTTATAAAGGTCAGGGGTGACACAGGGACAAAAAACACATTTGTGTTGCCCTTCTTCCCCAATGTTGACATTTCTTCACTTTTTCAGAGGGTTCTCAGCAAGGGAAGGGGCTGAGAATATGGTTTTCTGACTAGCTGTGGAGGATGTGAATACAGTGAAGGCGCTGGGGACTCACAGAGCAGGCTATAGTGCCATCTGTCCTGCTCACCCGTGTCACTCAGCCAGGGGTCACCTGTGTGCTCCAGATACCTTCCCCAGTAAAACAGAGGTCCTTACTGTCTTTTCCATTTTGGCCTCATAATGTCTTACAAGGTTTGGATAGAACAGGATAAAAATCATGTATTTGTGTGCCCATAAACAGACCTATCAATCACACTAATCTTTGAAGACTGTGTGTTCCTATTGTTTTAAGCTTTAAGGGGACAGAAAGCCATTGGGATAAGAAAAGATGAGGATAGAAGTTAAGCCAGAGGCAGTTAATGTCAACACCTTAGTTTATGTTGAGGGAGGAACTAAAGCCTTTCAGCTTACAAACAGATGAGCACCATGGCCTGAGATTCTACTTTTTTTAATTTTCAGATGGGAAAATATGTGTACATGTATGTGTGATTGTATAAATGTAGATGTGCTATTCATATTTAATTTAGTATATATATTTTAATTATATATGCATATGTAGTATGTATTTCTATATATTTGTGTGTGTATGTGAGTGTGTGTGAGTGTGTATGTGTGTTTAATCTTAAAGTGCCACATAATTAATCTCTTAAAGAATTAATATTTTAAACACCTGGGCAATGCATTTTCCAAGCAATAAGTGGAAAAATATTTGATAAGAATTTTAGTCAGAATTCCTTCCTTGAAAGGGATTTCTACCCATTCTAACTAACTCAATGGATAAAGAGGATTTCTGGTACAGACACAGAGATGGCACAAAGAGAAAGGAGAACTGTGTCCCATGGGAGTAACACCATTCTAATAAGACCATCTCGAATAGCACTTTGGGAGGGGCGGAGCAACATGGCGGTGAGGAGACGCTGCGAGTAAGATCTCCCATTAAAAAAGTTAATAGGGAGGAAAAGCGGCAGGTCCCAGTGAGAACTGAGACAGGGAAGATAAACAGACGACTCCAGCAAACTGCCCGAAGAAGAAAGTTGCCATAAAAGAGGACGAGAAGGGAGGGAAGCGCAGAACCCTGCTCCCCTCCCCCGCCCACAGAGGCGGCACTCTCCGACCGGCAGAGACGAGGGAAACAACAAACCAAAACACCCAACAAGAAAAACGGATGCAGCAAGTGGGACTGTGAGTGGAAAGGAACTATTTCAGCCACCACACCCCGTGAACGGGAGCTGAGGCGAACCCTGCAGGATCCGCCACGGAGGTGAGCTCCAGGCGCCAGTAAAGAGAGCCCCGCCCACCAGGAGGAGCCCAGCACCAGCACACAGCCCCGGCCGCCCGGTAAGCTTGCGCGAAAGCGGCGCTCGGATTGCAGCTGCCCAGGGCCCTGCGCCTGCGACCTAGGCTTGCGGGGAGACGGCGGAGGCCCTCCCTGAGTGAGCAGGAACAAGGTGCCCAGGCAGGGGAGCGGGATTCAAAAGGCGCCATTCCCGCGCCACTGATCTGGGCTATAGCCCGCGTCCTGGAACTGAGGGCTTTGGAACTGAGACCCGGGCGGAGGCCCTCCCTGAGTGAGCAGGAACAAGGCGCCCAGGCAGGGGAACGGGATTCAAAAGGCGCCATTCCCGCGCCACTGATCTGGGCTACAGCCCGCGTCCTGGAACTGAGGGCTTTGGAACTGAGACCCGGCGGAGGCCCTCCCTGAGTGAGCAGGAACAAGGCGCCCAGGCAGGGGAGCGGGATTCAAAAGGCGCCATTCCCGCGCCACTGATCTGGGCTACAGCCCGCGTCCTGGAACTGAGGGCTTTGGAACTGAGACCCGGGGCACGAAATTAGGGGCGTGGGTTCCCCACGACGGTGGGGCACAAGGCAGACACAGCACCCCAAAGCCGTTGAGGTGTACCCTACCATCCCCGCTCTGCTCCCTGTCCCAGGGGGTGGAAAATCAGCTCCCCAAGGGCTCTAGGAGAGATCTCTGGTGCCACCTAGCGACTTGACCCCAGCACAGGCTACTGAAGGAGCTAGTGGCCAGCTGGGGAGTTAGCCCACACCGGGCCCCTTCTGAACAAGTAGTCTGAGCCCACAGGGAGAGCGAGCACCCACAGCCGGGGCAGACCAGGCGCGCAGAATAGTGTGCCTGAGACCAGAAGCGCAGGGAGTGTGTCCCACATCACCATTTTAGAACAGGGACATTTCTTCAGTAAAGACTACCTGCAGAAGGCTTCCTCAGGAGCCAGAGGTGAGCGGGGGAAGTTCGCCCACGCCAGACCCCCTCTGGCCTGCAGTCCAAGCCCAGAGGGGAGCAGGAACCCACCGCCGGGCAGACCAGGCGCACAGGGGAGTGTGTCCCCACATCGGCATTTTAGAACAGGGACCTTTCTCCAGTAAAGGCTGCTTGAAACTGACAGATGACTCCTGGAAGAACCAGAGGGGAACAGAGAAGCCCACCCAAGATGCCGGCAAGTCCCAACAACATAGTGTCCCAACGCATACGGCAAATTAGAAAACAGACAGTAGGGAGGAGAAGAACCACACGCAACCTAGCACCTCTCCAGAGAAAAAGCACACCACAAAAAGAAAGCCAGCCCCCAGATTGCAACGACAATAACTTGGAAGAATTTCTGAGCCTTCCAGAAAGAGAATTTAAAATTGCCGTGATTAAAAAACTGACAGAAGTCATAAAGGAAAACAATGATAAGGGAAAAATAATCAACGATCAGAAGAATGCAATTGAGTCCCTAGAGAGGGAAAACAATGGTCAGAAGAAAGAAATTGAGTCCCTAAAGAGGGAAGTAAAAGAAATGCAGGAGATCAAAGAATTAATGGAAGAACTAAAGAATTCTGGGAAAAGCAATGAAAGCAGAATAGATGAAATGGAAGAACGAATAAGTAATCTTGAAGACACAGAAATAAAAAGAACCAAAACAGAGAAGGAAAGAGAAGTACGAAGGAAAAAGAACGAAGAAAGACTTCGGGAACTATCGGACTCCATGAGGAAAGGAAATATAAGAGTTATAGGAATACCAGAAGGAGAGGAGAGAGATGTAGGAACAGAGAAAATATTCAAAGAGATAATTGAAGAGAACTTCCCAAATGTGAAGAAGGAGCTGAAAATTGATATACAAGAAGCAAGAAGAACACCAAACTTCCACGACGAAAGGAAAAATACAGCAAGACACATAATAGTAAAGCTCCCAAGAATCCAGGACAAGGAAAAAATAATGAAGCTGGCAAGAGGGAAGAAACAGATAACATTCAAAGGAAAACCAATCAGGCTGACATCAGACTTCTCCGAAGAAACACTACGGGCAAGGAGAGAGTGGAGGGACATAGTCAACAGACTCCAAGAAAACAGATGCCAACCAAGAATACTCTATCCCGCAAAGCTCTCCTTCCTCTTTGAAGAAAGAATATGGACCTTCCCAGACAAACAGAAACTCCGGAATTTCATTGCAACTAAACCCCCACTCCAAAAAATACTACAAGGAGTTCTAAAGCCAGAACCTCAGAGCGACGAATAACAATGAAAGAAGGCCAAAAAAAAAAAAAAAAAAAAAGTTATTAAAAGAATAAATAAATAAAATCAAAGGAAAGACAAAACAATGGCAAATACAGATGTTAACATATCAATATTAACTCTAAATGTAAATGGACTAAACTCTTCAATAAAAAGACACAGAGTTGCAGCCTGGATTAAGAAACAAAACCCAACCTTTTGCTGTCTCCAGGAAACACATTTAGCTACAAAAGATAAAAATAGGCTCAAAGTTAAAGGATGGAAAACAATCCTACAAGCAAATGGACCAAAAAAGAAAGCAGGAACAGCTATACTTATATCAGATAAAACAGATTTCAAACTCAAAAAGATAAAAGAGACCCCAATGGTCACTACATTATGATCAAGGGGACAATACTTCAAGAAGAAATAACACTCATTAACATATACTCACCAAACGAAGGAGCACCAAAATATATCAGACAACTGTTGTCCTCTCTGAAAACAGACATCAGAGAAAACACATACGTAGTGGGAGACTTCAACACACCACTATCAACAATGGATAGATCAACAAGACAAAAAATAAGTAAAGAAACCAAAGCTCTAAATAAAGACCTAGAGCAATTGGGCTTAACAGACATCTATAGAACACTAAACCCCAAAAAAACGGAGTACACATTTTTCTCAAGCGCACACGGATCATTCTCCAGGATCGATCACATACTGGGGCACAAGACAAACATCAACAGATACACCAAGATTGAAATCATATCAACCATCTTTTCTGACCATGAAGGCATCAAACTAGAAATAAACCATAAAAAGAAGGCAAGGAACTTTCCTACCTCATGGAGATTAAAAACCACACTACTGGAAGACCATTGGACTAATGAGGAGATCAAAGAAGAAATTAAAAAATTTTTTGAATTGAACGACAAGGAGGACACCAAAATCCTAAATGTATGGGATGCAGCAAAAGCAGTAATAAGAGGAAAATATATAGCAATAGAAGCTCACATCAAGAAACAAGAAAGAACGCAAAGAAACAACCTAATCTCGAAGCTCAAAGATCTAGAAAAAGAACAACAAGAAAACCCCAAAACCAGTAGAAGAAAAGAAATAATAAAAACCAAAGCAGAAATAAATGAAATTGAAACTAAAAAAACAATCCAAAAGATCAATGAAACCAAGAGCTGGTTCTTTGAAAAAATCAATAAAATAGACAAACCCCTAGCCAGGCTCACAAAGGAAAAAGGGAGAAAGCACAAATAAACAGGATCATCAATGAAAGAGGAGAAATCACAACGGACACAGCAGAAATCAAAAGAATAATCAGTAACTACTATGAACAGTTATATGGAAACAAG